AGCAGTCACAGGACACTGTGTGGACAAGGCAGAGGCCCCTGAAAACGTCCACAAACAGGAACAAGACACGGGACAGTGACTAATAGGCAAGTGATACCTCATCCCCAGATGGTCTCCATCCCAGGTTGGCCAGCCCATCAATTGTCAATCTTTCAGTCAACAAAGGTTATTCAACAGTCTCCACGAGGAATCTAACAATGAGGATCAACCAACTCCAGAACCTCACAGTCCCCTGAAGCCAGTGCCCTAACATAGTTTATTTTTACAGGGGAAAATGGCTTTAAACAAAACATCACCGCTAAGTGCCTGATGGAAAGAAGGGGTTGGGAAGCCTGGGTGGGGGAGTCCACCTCCCGCATTTCCCTGCCCTCACCCCAACTCAACACACCAGTCTCCTTCCACTCTCCCTCTCCTTGCACTGCTTTTATACAGTTTGTCAGCAACTTCTGTTGTTTGCTTCTCTGAAATGGCACTTGCATCCTTCCTCTTCTGCCTCGCCTTAGCGTTACCACTTGCTCCGATACCGCGGCCACCCCTGGTCGCCAAGGCTCCAAGCTGGGCAGTCCCACACTCCGTGTCTGTCAGATGTGGCTCCTGCAAACCCAGCTCTTGGTCAGTCCTGTCTCTGCACAATAATCAGCTCAACAGGGGCTCCTCTGGCATCTCAGGACCAGTCACTAAGACCCTCTTCTATGTGGCCCTCCCTACACTCCTGTCACTTTATTTCCCAGTACTTCCTAGTATATGCCCTCCGCTCCAGTAACCCCCTTGCTTATTTGTGCCTTTGCTCAAGTGGTGTCTGACTTCTGGAACATCTTTCCTCTTCTTGGCCACCTATTGAATCCTACCTCCCTAATCCACCTTGCCACTTTGTTCACACAAACCAAGCTTAGGACCTAGGCGATGGGAGAGATGGCAAAGGCAGGGTTAGGGGCCTGCTTTTTTCCCATTTCTTTTACTGTCTTGAAGCTCCCCTACCACATCTTGACTCCACTGCATGGAAATGCTTTTCTGTAGCACTTGCCCAGCTGTGAAGCCCCACCAGCTTGAATGCCCTGGACCATCTAGCTGTGGGTGGAAGGAGCTTGTTGGCCCTCAGCTGGGTAGACTCTTTGTCTTACAAGGCAAAAAGGGAAAAAGCTGACACTGCTAATGTTTACTCACTTGTTGCTTCTTAGGAAAGACTCTTAATCACTGTCAAGTTAATATACCAAGTGCTAGGATTTCTGAGAGATGGATGGTGGGTTTGCCAAACGACAGACTGCCAAGTTGGGTCTCTGGAATGAATCCAGTGTTCCATAAACCCTGCGTCTTTCCTAATCATAGAAAGAACCCAAAATGACAGAAAGGCAGACTAGAGTTTCAGGCAGCAGAATGATATAGAAGCATCATCCTATGCTTCCGGAAAAACAGAAAATGCAGCTCGAGGCAAATTTCATCTCCCCCCTTCACCCTCATATGCAGAGGGTTGCATTGCTTGATGAGTGCACTGCAGGCACTGGGGAGATCTTCGGAAAAATCTCTTGAAAGGGGTACAGTAAAGAGTAGGTGGTCCTTGGAGACTTTCTCACTCTTCTGCCAATTTGTAACTGGGAAGGTGACTGAGATGGGTAAAAATGGAAGGGGAATGATGAGGACTTCCTGGGCCTCCTGCTACCTTGAAGGAAAACAGTTCACTGGTTGGGAAGGGTTACCTCCTCTTCTTTTATTTGAAATGGCATGAAAGTGGCTATCTCCAAGTTAGCCGGTGGGTTGGGTAAGGGGTTCTCTGCTTTGTACAACTTTACCTAGAGCTAAAGGAAAAGGGGAGTGAAAGTAGTAGTTTTGAATGTCCTTATCTTCATGCCTTGAGCTGGCAGATGAGGAGGATAAGAAGAGGTAACGATAACCTCCCCCAAACCAACAACACACACACACACACACGCCTGTGTGCACACCCACACACCCACACACATACCGCAGAGAGAATGAGAGAATGAAAAAGAGAAAATTCAAAACAAACCTGCTCAGGCAATTACATTAATATGATAATAATGACAATAATACTAATTGTGTTAAACACGCCTACTGATTTACATTTTATAAAGCACCGGGGTATATTATTTAGCAGTATTCTTATAACAAATAATCCAGTCAGGTGATAAACAACACAGCAGCTACCACGTACTGAATGATTACCGGGTAACACTTTTCATGTGGTATTTTATTTAATCCTCACAACCTCCTTGTGGTACTAGTATTATCCCCATTTTACAGAGGGAGAAACAGGTTTGGAGAGGTTAAGTAACTTGCGTTAGGTAGAGAATGAAACCTAGGTCTTTCTGATTCCAGAGTCCAGGCTCTTGACCTTAATAGGGTACATCTCATGGCAGGGCTTTTTTTTCTTTGCAAGTTCGAGAAGGGAAGGCCACTCAGGAGGATGCAGCCCTTACATCTCAACTCCCTAAGAGGTAGGTACACACAGACACACACACACGATGAATACTCCAAGAGGTCCCGCTTCTCTGTTGGCCCCGGTTACAAACGCATCCAGCTTGCACAGACACAGGTCCACAGATGAAGGCCTCATTCCTTATAGGGAGAAAGGTCAAGCCCTAAGGATAACATACCTGTCATTTTACCTGTATCTGAAGTCGCAACAAGGGTTTCCATTTGACAGGATGCAGCTACAGCAAGGCAATGAATTAGCATCTAGTTCCGAAGCTTTGTCATGAAAAATAGTTTAAAGACTGAGAATAATGAGATAGAATGCCATTTAGAAGAATGGCTTGTGATAGTCAATTAAATGTTCAGCTTGGGAGATTCATGCGCTCACAGAAAAGAAGAAATGACTGTAGAAAACAGCAAGGTGCAAACACATGGTGACAGCTCACATAGTTGGCTGTCCTATTCTTCACAGGACCCATCTGACCTCAGCGGTCAGTGCAGAGGCCTGACACAAATGGACATGCACACATCTGGGATACTCCGGGCTGGGCAGGCTTGGGGGAGAAGAAACAGGACCCTTGAGAACTCCTTCCCTCCCCTTTCACCCAAGCACCAACTCTTCTGGAGTATCTCCTCCCCCTTCTTCTCCTCCCTCTTCTTTCTCTAAGCTTCCTTCTCCTCTCCTTCAAACATCAACCTGCATAAGAGATCTGAGGGTGGGGTGGGGACAGCGTGTTAGTTCCTGGGATTTTGAGACAGTAAAGTGTCAAGGTCAGCAGGCCCCCGCCAACCACACCCCAGCTTTCCAGATATTCTTTTTAAAAAAAGATTTTATTTATTTTTTGACAGAAAGAGAGACAGTGAGAGAGGGAACACAAGCAGGGGGAGTGGGAAAGGGAGAAGCAGGCCTACCCCCCCCCCCAGCAGGGAGCCTCATGCGGGGCTAGGACCCTGGGATCATGACCTGAGCAGAAGGCAGACGCTTAACGACTGAGCCACCCAGGCGCCCCTCCAGGTATACTTAGATACACACACAAACACCCACTGGAACTTTAAAAAGATGTTAGGAGATCCACAAGCCCCCTGTGAAACAAAATCTTGGTGCTTCCTAGCCACAGAAACATACAAGTAGGCAAAGGGCTCAGGTTAATTAGTTATCTCCACACCTACCTGCACAGAGGAGGTGGCCCTTGCACACACACAGGAATCCTCACACAGGCATCTTGGTAATGCCACCCTTCCTCTTGGCCAGCCTCATCTCTTCCCACCCACCCAAAAAGGTGTTGACCACAGCCACCCTGTGAAAGGCTGAGAGGTACCATATAGTAGATAGTGAATCCTATCCTATCAAGTAGACCTTGGCTACTCCCTGCTGTGAGACATGGGTAAGCCACTTAGCCTCTGTGGGCTTCTGTAAAATGGAGCTAATAACCACCTGGCTAGATGCTGTGAAGATTAAGGGGAATCATCTATGTAGGGCCTTTGGCACAGTGCCTGGCGCTGTCCTGCCTGGTTCCTGAGCCTGCCTTTCCTACACCCACGCCTGGGCTGATAGTGCCTCCTGGCACTTGGTCCCCACTCTCAGGATGCTGGTGTGACATAGGTAAGAGTGGGGACTAGTCGAGGACCTCGGGTCTGTACCAGGAGGGTCCCAGCCCTCAGGTCACATGTCTGCCGGCCGGCCGCGGCTAGCCTTCAGGGCCCCGAGGGTCCCGGGAGCCGGGGACAGGTGGGGAGGGCGATCAGGTCTCCGGTGTGTGGACCCGTGGGCGGCGGGTGGAGCTGGCCGGCGGAGGTGGGCAGAGCCCAGCCATAAGTAGACCCAAGACTGTGGGTGGCTTCCTCCTGTTGCTCAGTATCAGGAAGAGGCGGGGGAGGACATTCATTTTTTTCCAAAGTAAGCATCCACCCATTGCTTCGATAACTATCGATTGTGAAAAGCCGGCGGCGCCTCTTAAAGGCGAAGCCCGGCTCCTGCGCCCCCTCCCGCCTGCCCCGCGGCTGTGTTCCCGGACCCCTCCGGCGGGACCTCCTCTGCCTGTACCGGGCAGCGATGGACGAACCCCTCTGCACCGCCTCGGGAACCGCAGCCACTAGTTGTGGTTTGACCCCTGCCCGTCCACCCGCGGGTCCTTTCCTTCCCGTAGTCCCCTGTCACGCCTTCGACCGGGTCACCTGTTCCGCACTGTCCCTGGCGCCGGGGTTCGAGGACGGGGTCGGCGCTCGGAAAGTTATTTCAAAGGGCAGATGTGTTGCAACCCTCGCTGCAGCAAACTACAGGACGCGGATTTCCCGAACCCTTCCCCACCCCCACCCAGCCCGGGCGACCCGAGCCCGCTGCAGGACGCAGCAGCGCGGAGAGCCACCCGCAGATGCACCTCTTCTCCCTCTCGCGCGCCCAAGTGCAGTGGAAAGCCTCACAGCAAACTCAGCGCGGAGCAATCCCGGGTCCTGGCCTGGAAGGGATCGGCCTCCCGCCCGGCAGCTCCGACAAATACTCGCGATTTCCTGCCCCGGCCTCCCCTCCTCCCGGCCCCGGCCCTCCCGGCTGGGCTGCCGCGGCCCCTCGGTACCTGATGCGGTCACTGGCTCGCCCTCACTCTGCTCGCCGGAATCCGAATCCATGCTGCGGGCTGCTGGCCGGACGTCCACAGCCGCCCGCCCGTCTGCGGGGCGCTCGGGGCCGGCGTCCGGGCTCCCGCTGCCGCGGCGTACTCGGTGCGGGCAGCCGGGCGGCGGCAGCCCTGGCGGCACGGGCTGGGCAATGCGCGGCGGCGGCGGCCGGGGGGCGGCTCCGCAGAGGCGAGGACCGCCCGCGCCCCGCTCTCCGCGCCCTGCCGGCCGGTGCCTGCGCGCCAGGCGAGCGCGGGGCGGAGGGTGGGGGCGCGCGGGGAGAGAGCGGGGAGGGGGAGGGGAGGCGCGAGCTGGGAGGAGCGGGAGCGTCCGGGCCCGCGGGCTCCAGACGGGGCTTAAATACCCCGGGGGCGGTGCCGCTCCTCCTACCCGCGCCCCGCGCCCGACGCCCGGCGCCCTGGACTTGAGGCGCGCGCGAGGTCCTGCCGGTCGGCGAGGCCGAACGCGGTCTCTTGCGGATGGCCAAGTTGGGAGGATTTTGAGGCAAAAAAGCGCCTCTACCCAAAGAGAAAAAAGAGAGGTTCCGTGTGGGAGTCCCGGGGCTGCCCGGGTAGGAGTCCTAGTCCACCGCTCGGGGACCTGAGGCGAGAGACTCACTCTCCCTGAGGTGTTTCCTCACTTGGCAGATGGGGAAATGACAGTTGCCTTTTACCGGGAATGTTGTTGGGGAGGAAATACGAATGCACGTGAGGAGCCGAGAGCAGGGCCTGGCACCTGGCGAGGAAGTGAACAGCACTCGGCAGGTACGCTCGCTCCGGCGGCGCCTCTTCCCCGCGTGGGCGGGGCGGCCGGGGCGGCGGCGGAGCGGAGCGGGGCGGAGCGGGGCGGGGCTGAGCAGGGAGCCGTCGCGCGCTGCGGACACGCCTTGCCCGCCGCAGCCCCGCCACTTCGCGCCCACCGACTCGGGCCAAGAATGGAATTTTCAACCTCGTCTTAACAAGGAGTGCGCAACATGCTCCAAAGCCCCTACCCTTTCACTTTCTAAAAAGAGGTATTTGTGAATTTACTTAGTAATTAAGAGACAAAACGAAGGGGGAAAACGCCCTGAGCAGGAGCAGTAAGGCCTCAGGAGATCAGGAGATTGTGGGTTGTTAATTCTCAAGGATCCGTGCAGTCTTACTGTCTCCCTGAATTATCAACTCCCAACACTTACGTAACTTCAGGCCAGCTTCTTTGTACATAAAGTGCCACAGAAAAAGCAAACTAACTTTATTGACGTGAGCAAAATGAAGTCAGGAGGAGAAAGTCCACTAAAAAGCTCCATTTGTTTGCTATGCGCACTTGTTTAATCTGTACAGTGACCCACTGAAGAGTTTGGGTTGAACCACATGCAGATGCTTTTTTGGAGTTCAAAAATAGCTGGAAGTTGGCAATTTCATAGAATTCGACCTATATTAGTATCCCCATTTTATACATGTGGAAGGCGGATTTCAGGGAGAGCAAATAATTTTCTTGTGGTCGCGCGTCCAGTAAGTGGGTGAGCTGGGACTTGAAATCAGGCTTATCTGATCTCCACACCTGCTCCTAACTGGTAGGGTATAGAGTCACAAGTCAGTTTGGCCTCTTGGCTACCTGAGGGCTGCCTCCTTCAGTGAAGGTATGGGTTTCACAGAGTACAAATATAGTGCTACTTTGCGTCCTCAGAAAACATTTTCTAGATGGCCAAACTCGTGGGCTTTAGTTGACAAAAGTTGGATGGGCTTCTGTGGAACAGTCAGAAGAGTCCCATACTAGATGTGTGATCTTGGGCAAATGGCTTAACCTCTCTGTTCCCTCATGTGTTGGCATCTCCTTCATAGGGTGGTTGTAAGGGAGTAAATGAAATAATGAGTGTGGAAGCTATTCCTCAATGCCTGACACACAGTTAATGTCTGATAAGTGGGAAGAACTTACTTCTCAGATCTAATGGGTCCCATTTAGAAAAAATATTTTAAAATCACATTTTTAAATGAAAAGAAAAAAGTAATGGCAACATTTGTGTAAAAGTTGATACTCAAAAAATAAATAGCTGGGATCCTTTAAAAAGTTTGCCATCATAGTTTTGCATTCTTTTTTTTAAGATTTAAAAAAATTAATTAATTAATTAATTATTTAGCATGCTTCCCAGTGGGGGGAGGGGCTGAGGGAGAAGGAGAGAGAATCCCAAGCAGACTCTGTTTTGAGTGCAGAGCTCCAGGCAAGGTTGGAGCTCAGGACCCTGAGATGGTGACCTGAGCTGAAATCAAGAGTCAGATGCCTAACTGACTGAGCCACCCAGGTGCCCCATAGCTTTGCATTCTTTTTTTTTTTTTTAACAAAAATACAAGAGAACAAATCTACACCTTTATTTACTTTTCATTAAGTTTAAATCCTTGAGGGGTACAGCATCACACGGATTCTGTGGCCAATGGCCTTAGCAGGAAGGTTGCTTCGGAATTTGGCATGAACCATGCCACTGTTTCCATGAGCATGAGTTACTTTTCCCCAGATTACTCTGGTTTTGTTTGGTTTGCCACCAGGAGTCACTGTGTTGTTCTTTGCTTTGTACACATAAGCACATCTCTTGCCTAGAGAGAATTCCGTTTCATCTCGAGCATAAACACCTTTGATTTTAAGAAGAGCTGTGTGCTCCCTCTGGTTCCGGAGACCCCGCTTATAGCCAGCAAAAATGGCCTTGGACCACAGCCTTCCAGACATTATTTGGCATTATAAGAGTCCTGTTCCCAGCAGGCCTCCACAGACTCCAAGATGGCAGAAAAAGCCATAGCTTTGCATTCTTAAGGAAAATCAAGGATGGTGGCATCAGAGAACAGAGTATATTAGATTGAAAAGACATCCAGCTTCCTCTGAAAGCCAAGCCTAGATTCAACAACAGGAAATGTGAAACTTTCTCTGTTCCCTTAGACCTCCTTTCCTGGAACTTGGTAGAAGCTTTTTAATGATTGTTTGTTTGTTTTAATGGACAGGTGGTCTAGGTTGAAGGGTGAGAGAGACAGAATCCCACGGAGATATCTGTACATCACAGCGATAAAGGAAATAGGGAAGCTCACTACTGGAACTTGGTTAACAATAAACAAGGTATGGAGAGCACATGATACATATACGCCCATCAAGACATTGGATCTTTACTGAATAACTAATACATTCAGCCCAGAGATAAAATACTGGGGGTGGGGGGATGCTGGTCAAAGTGCTTCTGAAAAGTGTATAATGTGAGTCCAGAAAAACAACACTTATATTCATTTATTTGTTCCTATATTCAGTCATAATATATTTCTGCAAAAAAAAAAAAAAAGAGGCCGACCTAGAATAAAAAATTGAATGTGGAATTAAACAATGGAGAAGAGAGATCCAAACCAAATAAGGTCTCCATTCCAGTTTCCTATGATATGCAATCTGTTGTCATGGGATAGCAAGACAAAGGGAAATGACTGCTGGCGCGCATGTGTGTTTAATGAAGAACATTAGTGGAACATACCTTATCTGTCCTCCCAGTGTGGAAAAATCTGTATAAGAGAAGGAAGTCCTTAAAATAGTATCTCATGACCATCACCCCCACGAAAATAGTGAAATCTGAGGTGGTGAATCTCCTTTACAAGCCAATCCTACTATATTTCTTTAAAAAGAAAAAGAAGGAAAGGAAACACTCTTAGAAAAGAGGAAAGGATTTCCGTAGTTCCTCTGTGTATTTTTAGAAGAATGGCATCACTTTGCAGACTTGAATCTAGAGTCTGAGGGTTATAAACCACTTTCCTCAGTGTTTCCACTACATCTTTTCAGCCTGGCTGCTTTTCAGACACACGAGTTTCTAAGTCTCATTGGTCATTCCTTAGCTTTAGCTAAGGAAGTAGTTGGATTTTAAGGAACTTGCTCGTCTGGTGGGAAAAGCCTATCTATATGTAAGGTGTCAAGAAACGGGTAATAAAACAGATCCATTTCTGCGAACACAATAATACTCCTTTAATCTATCAGTGCTATGACTCATCTGCCTGTCTCCTCTTGTGGGATGGAAAGGGAGCTGTCTGTAAACCTTTGGGCAAGCAGCCTGGAGAGGGGAGGGAGGTTCCTCTCACACGCTAGGGCTGCTACTCTGCTCCAAAACCCCACAGGGCTCTGACACTGCCATTTTTTTCTAGGCTGAAGTGGTCCTTGGTATTTTGAGATGAGAGGTTAGCCAGGACAGCCCCATTTTAAATAACTTGTCTCGAGGTGGATCCTGGCACTAAGGAAGTTCTGCCCAGAGCAAGGCAGCCTTCATGGGGCTCTAGGAAAGCTGGACAGTGGGGTCAGAACTGGCTTCATATCCATCCGGCAGAGCAAGGTGCCTGAAGACAGCCTTGAAAGAGGGGGCATTTCCTCTCTCTTTCTGGCTAGCAAAACTAAGTTTTCATTGTCGTCCATCCCTTATTTCAAAAGTATCACTGTAGAAAAATTAAAAATCTGTTCATAATTCCACTAGTTAAAATAACTGTTAACACATCTTTTGAAAAACTTCCCTCTTTGTGTGTGTCATATTCTGCTTTTTTAACTTGCTTTTTCCTTTTAATCGTATGTTATTTCATCTACTTTTTGACATGATGTTTAGTAGCTGCACAGTATTCTATGTGTATGGGTGCACCATAATGTAGTTGAACATTATTGGGCATTGAGGTTGTTTTCCAATTTTCTGGTATAACTGAGTGTTAGTAAACATCTTCATGTCTAAATCTTTGCATACATCTTTAATCAATGTCTGTGATCCTTCAGCAGCTTCATTTGTTTTTTGGGGGTGGAGAGAGACAGAAGATTGTAGCTACCAAAATAATTGCTGTATATATCTCAAGATTTCAAGATTATCAAGAATTGTCATGGGCATAATCCCCTCTCAGCAGGGGGTGAGTTATCTGAGTTCATTTTTGCATTTATTAAGCATTGATTGAGCCCAGAGGGGATTCCTCCAGGTTGAGGAGAGGAGTGGAAAATTTCCTTTCATATTTTCTTTGTGGGCAGCATGTCCCCTGCACAGCCCTATCCAAGTCCAGACACCTCGTGGGAGGCAGGGTGTGGGCAACTGGGCA